GCCATACTGGATGGATAATAAATGACTAAAACTATATGATCATGTAAAAGGTTCAAATAAGATTCATAAATGTATATGTATAGAAAACAACAAGGAAAATGTCAAAACAAGCCCTAATTGACTTCTATTTGCTTTTTCTCTTTCCCTCTGTCTGAGCCTCATGCGGTGCATTTGACCTCTGACCTCAACTCCTCCCATCTGTCCTCCCATGGACCAGATGATGTCCCTCCTACAAAACCAGTCGATGAAAATGATCGAGAAGATCTGGAGGATCAAGAAGACAAAAAAGATCTCCATCACCTCCAGGGGACAACTGTCAGTCTCCTGTTGGGCATTTGGACTGAAAACTGTGTGACACTGAGCTTTAACAACTGCCCCTGGTATGATGCTATCCAATATCAGTGTAGAGGAAGAAAAACTAAACATGCTGCGGAGTTGTGAGAGAAGAAGACTCTGAAATGTTGATGCTTGTTTCATCTGTGGACAACATGGACATTTCCTGAGGGACGACCTGGACAACCCAAAGATCCAACGCCAGAACCAGTTGGACTGACAGGAAGTCGGAGGAGAGAGACGGGGGAGGATTTCGCTGCAGCAATGAAAAGGAAGGAACAACCTGAATCCACATCAACCACTGTGAAGGATGACCTGTCTGTAACGTCCATCTAGATGGACGTTACACAAAGTAAACTTCAGATTTGCTTCTGTTGCTGTGTCAGATTTAAAGTCGTGACTTTAAATCAGACACAGCAACAGAGTGAGCAGCAAAACTTCACTCTACCAAGTATCAAGTACTTCAACTTTTGAGACCAAAGAGGACAACGTCCAGAGCAACAGCGAGTTTAGATGTTTCTGGAACGCTCTCCACTCAAAGAACTATTGCGAGTCACTGGCGAGTGACCGAAGCGCAGAGTGAAGATTTACACCGTCCTGTTATCCTTAAATATGCATTTAAAAGAGAAAATCAACTTCAGAAATTACTTGGTTTTTCATATGTTTAATTTTGACCAAAGAGGATGAAATCAGATGTTGCCTGGTTGTTTGTAACTTGGATTTATTTAGAATCAAAGAGGATGAAAATCACTTTGAAATTGTTTTGTTTTATTTTGAAGTGGGTGCATTAGAATCAGATGGGGCAACATTAAAATTTTACTTGTTGATTATAATATACTGTGGGTTATATTAAAATCAAAGAGGATGAGATTATATTAAATTTTAATTAGATTTTCATAAGAGGATGACTTAATATCAACTAAACTTTACATTTAAATTTAGGATTTAAAATGAGTGTAAAACCTACATTTTCATTAACATAAGCAACGTAAAATGAAATTATTCATAATTATCGTGTTAGGGAGGTCTAAGGATTGAAATGCATGCACTTATTTTGCAGGGAAGAATTTGGGATTAAAAATAATTACTTATTTAAGCAATTGGAAATATTACTTAGAAAATGGTTTGGTATTCCGCTGGTACTTTGCTTCCAAATACACCATTTCAAATTCCTCCTTTCAAAGTTTTGTAAAAGATGACAAAACATATAGAGGACAAAACATACAGAGGACCGTCTCCCTGGCAAGGAGAGGTTACAGGGTAACTTTTCCTACCTAACAGAAGTGAAACAATAAAGGGATGAATGGATGAATGCCAGTAGGTTTTTTGTATCCTGCGTATATGTTTTTGTTTCATCATACAGAATAATGTTTCAATGACTGAATGAATATGTAATGTCTTACAATGTATGGGATGATTTTTCACTTCTCACCATAAAAATTGTAGAAATGTCCTTTTATATAAGACTCATGTGTTGTCTCTGCCTGGCAGAGCTTTCCATCCAGAATTGCTTCATGATTGATTGTCCTATGAGCTCTCTGAGTTGTGCACAATTCATAAATAAACCTGATTGAGTGATTTTACCTGAACAGTGCTTGGTAATAGTTTTTTTTTCCACAACAATGGACAAAACATTAAAGGCTCTCAAGTAAAAGGCGTGGCAGTTTGAGCTAATGTTGGACCCATGAGCCCATGCTAACGTTAGCATATTAGCCTGCAAAGACTTTAATGCGTCATCTTTTTAAAGAAAAATCAATCTGTCACCATATATGCGAGTAGTAAAGGCATACATGACTATTATTCACCAAGGAAAAAATTATTTTACTAAGGCAGTATAGGTCTTATACATCAGCAAGTATAAACTGACACATTGTAGATTATAACAACTCATATGATTTGGATCTGTAAGTTATTTGCAAAACACCATTTAAAAAAGAAAAGAAAAAGAAAAAAAATCTTTGGGGCGCCCCAAAAATTGGAATCCTGAGCTGCTGCCACTTTAAACTTGTTCTAAAGTCCACTTGACAAAATACATTTTAATGTAAAAATAATAATAATAATAATAATAATAATAATAATACCCTCACATATTTCATAACATATTTAGAGACACCTTATCCTACATTTAATCACCAGTCCTGGTTGAGATAAATTTGCCTCGGCTTTTGAACTCTAATGCAATATTCATGTCACAAATTTGGTAGTTTGGATTTTCAGCAGCTGGCAAATCCCGCCTCCCCGTCTGTTTCCAGGCAGAGTTAGAATGGAAGGTCAAGAGAAGTGAAGGGGAGTCTCAAAAAAAAAAAAAAAAAACACACTCCCCAGCTTTGGCTGTTTACATCGCCTTGGCACGTTTGTGACTGTATCCATGACAACTGGAGTAAAGATAGTCAGGATGTCTCGCGGAGGATGCAGCATGGCTGATCACTGGATGGGTACCAGAGGATGGGCAGCGAGGGCAGGATTATCTCCAACCAAACCTGGAGGAGAAATCAACGGAGGACAAATCCAGCTTCTGGTTTTAGAGATTTCTTTATCTTCTCCCTCCTTCTAGGAAACTGAATTTGCAACCTTCACCCTTTAAAACTGTTGTGCAACAATATATTTGTCACTTAGATCAATATCACCAATCATCACCTGGTTATCAGAACATAACAGCCAAATTGTTTTCGGTTTCATATATTACTTATGAAATGTATTCAGTAACGACAAAATAAAGTTAAATTCAGCACTGATGTTCTTGAACAGCATATAAAATAAATCAGCTTTCCAGTTGAAATACTTTAACTAATTAGTAACACACAACTAAACTACTAAGTAAAAATGAAATTAAACTACCATAAAATAAAACACTTTTTTGTTCCACTTCACTTCCTGAACTTTTGAACTGACTTCCTGCTTCCTCATTTCCTTGTGTTGTACTCATTATCCCACTGTTTGTTATTTATTCATTTTCAAGTTCCACAGTTACAGATTTTGCTCACTGTACTTTTTATTGGTTCTCATCTTTAAAAGTTTGTGTTTTAAACTCTGGAACTTTGCGTCAGTAAAAGTATTGAATTTCTTTACAGTGAAAAAATAAAAACAAACGTGGAGGAACCCTGCATGCATAATTCTTGTTTACATGTCGTTCCTTGTAAATATTCTGCTTCACTGAAGTTCGGCAGTGATTCACTTTGCGTTCCCTGCTGTGGGAGTGAGAGCCCTGTAAGTGCTGCGCTCACATTTTCACTCTGAGCGCTGAATTCTCTGCTCAGGGAGGCGTTCTCCTTCGTCTCTGCATGCAAAACAAGAATTTCAACGGAACACAGGAGAGGGCTGTCTGTGTCTCAATACGAGCAACCTGGAGGTGGTGGTGGTGTGTTAAAGCGCTAGGCAAGGCCGTATGTCACACTTCTTTATGTTTCACCACTCAGATCAGAAGGAAAGACTCAAACAGAGCGACACAGATCGAGGGTTAGGGTTGATTTGTATGCCGTTTCTTTTCGATGAATGGAATTAGTTTTTTATTTACATTTTTGGCATCATAAATCACAATGGGGTTCCTCAAGGATGTGATCTCAGAATACTTATATTCAATATCTAAATGTACCTAAAGCTCAGATAACAGTGTACTTTTTTTAAGGGAGTTTATCAAACTATTTGATCAGTTCTTATTTCTTATAATTTCTATAGTACTATCTATTTTCACATAATTAATACATTTTTAGGCAAATTTAATCTGTTTGTTTTCAATGCAATTCTTCATGAGTGTACATCTCTTCGTTATGCAAAGCATTTTGAATTATCTGTTGCATGAATGGTGCAACACAGGTAAATTCTTATTTAATCTTGCAACTTTCAATCTTTGTGGGTCTTTTTTTGTTGTTGCGTCTTTTCATTCCCAGAAGTTGATGTCTGTTTACGAAGAAATAATCCAAAGCAACTTAAAAATATTGTCAGCTGGAGCAATGCCATAGGACACAGGGACAAAATTACAATTAATTGCAAAAAACATTGTTTTTAACCCTTGTGAGTGCAAAGACTGAGGAAAATCATACAAGTGATACAGGTGTGGGGTCAGTTGGACCCCATTTGTAAACACAGGGGCTAATGTTACTGATTAGAATCCACTATAACAAAAGTTTCTCAGGCGATGTGTTTCTGCATGACGATGTTGAACTTACCTTTTTCCTTCAAATGAGACTTACCTTGTTTGCTAGCTCTCTGACAGACTTGACGCTTATTTTGACCATGTTAGCATTTAGGTATTGGTAATTGTTCCACTAGAATTACTAGCACTACCTTTTATTTAGTTTCAAAACAAGCTAAATAAAATATTAAAAAATTTGGCTTATAAAGCATAAGACATACTGACATAAGACAAATTTTGCGTTGTCTTATGTCATGAATTCATCTTTACAGTTAGCAAGGGATGATGCTAACTCTAGTTAGCATCTTTGCTAACAAAAGTTAGTTAGCAGCTTACTGTATTTCAGTAATTTATAATAATAATTGTAGAGAAGACAAAAACAGTGACACAAATCAAATAAAGAGATCAACAAGTAAAAGATAAATAGTTTATGTGAGTCTTTCACATAGCATTTACCTTAATTCTATACACAGAATGATATACAGGAGGTCATCTCTTCAACTTTTTTTTGTACAGATTGACATAGTGACTTTTATTTTTTTTTCAGCATGCATTTTAGAATGACAACAAAAAGCTCCACAAATACACACTTAAAACTAGAACTTTCCTCACAGTAAAACGTACGAGATGTGAACTCGAGTCAAAAGCGTCAACGGTTTGAACGCACGATGGAGAAGCACACCATCAGACTACCATGACTTCTACCATTCAGAGCAATGTAGTCATCAACAGCAAGACACAAAAATACATGTTCTGGATTCAAAAAAATAAACACCCTTTTTTTTTCTTGTTGTTCATTTGTTTTCAAGTCACAACATCATCCTAGAATTACACAAGAACGGTTCTCCTTTGACAGTTCAAAAGAGTAAAGCAGCGTGTGGTTACTACACAAGGAGGATTGTGTATACGGGGCGATAACTTTGAACAGCTAGCCTACAACCGCGCAGGTCGCTACCAAACAAACAGCCGGTTTTTGGGGGGCTTCGTTTTATTTTTGTTCCTGGCTTTTCCGTTTCCCTTCCTACTATAAACTGGCTGCTGAAATCACAGTGTGGGTCGGTGCTTTTTTTTTTTTCTTCTTCCTTCCTTCCCTTCCCGTTTTGCTTATTGCAAAGCAGATCTGATTGTGTGGGTACACAGGGTTGCTACAGTGCAGACGCGTACCGCTCTAGAAGTCCCGCTTCGGAACGCGGTGAAATTTCTGCTACACTTTTTGCTCTGTCCCCATAACAGAGTTGGGGTTGGGGGGGTTTATGGAGGTTGGGAAGAGGAGGAGCTTGGAAAGCTTGGAAGAATCAAGTCATGCAGCTGATTTCTTTTTTCTTCTTTTTTCCGTAGCGACCAGAAATAATGAGGAGTAATGTTAAGAGTCATTTTGGTTTGCAAAGAGAGAAAAAAAAATCTGCAGCAGTAAATGTATTGGTGGCTGGGGTTAGTGGGAGTGGGGGGCTTCTACAATGGTAGCTGCATCGCAGGGAGAGCGCTTGTGCTAACACTAACTGGAAGATTCAGCATCAGGTCCACTCACTGGTCTCCCCTGACCTAGTGTTTCTCTCCACCTAGTAGAGTTTTTGGGACACATATAGACATACACACTCACGTTTGTGACTTAGCCTACTGAGGCCCCGGCTACGCTACGCCAGATATATAAGTGATCTTTTTTTTTTCCTCTTTAAATCTGTAAAATTCCAATAAGAAAAGCTGCTACACCAATTCGGCACCAGTAGGGGGCAATATTGTCAACATTCACTAGATTTAAATTTCAAAGAAGATAATGAGCATGACTAAAACAGTGACAGAGAAAATGTTTTATATTATGATTGAAGCTTAATGAGCATAGATGTGGAACATCTATATATTTATTTTAACACTTAAAATAAATAAGTGTTAAAATAACACTTATTTTAGGTGCTAATCATTTCACTGATACTACCTTTAAAGTTTTGACCATTTTTAACCAGATTTCTTTTTATAAAATTTTTTTTGGGATATGAAATGGTGCCATCCAATTTCATTGATTGTGTGTTCAGACAAGGGAATACAATTACAATTTCATTATTTGACTCAATAATGAGTTTACATCACTCCAATAAAAAAAATCTATCTACAAACTGTGCTGTATAACATTTTGTGTCTGATGTAGTGTCATAAACTCTCAAATGTTTCACATAGCAACTGATTTCAGGGAAGATTTACGAAATTTACGAACATACTAACCTGCAACAAAACTAATCAAACATATAATTGTTTAAGGATATAAACTATATAAAATATAGTTTAAATATCTGAAATGGAACTAGGAAGGGGCCAAAAAGCAATGCAAGGCAAAGGGGTGAATCGAGCCGCAGTGGGCTAACATTACCTAAATCCAGTGTGCATGTAAACACCCCAAACTTGATTTTAAAATCTCAAATTATTTCCAATCGAAAATTGGTTTGTGTGTTGAAGGGAAGTGTAAACAAAGACAGAATAGAGATATCGGTGTTAGCGTGGACGGGGCTCGATGTGTGTCACCAAATAAGAAGTAAGCATAGACAACTGTGATGTTGTATTTATTCAGTTTAGCACATTATGTCTCTCTACGCTGTATATACCTTAAGTAGAGTATCTGATACGATTAACACTCCATTTTCAAAAACACAATGTGCCTCAACGGATACGTCTTAATACACTTATTGCGATGGAAAGGAGATACCACAGCTAGAAAAGGGATTGATGCCGAGTGTCACGACACTACGTAGCTACCAGAGCATCCACCTTGATACCCGACTCGCCATCAAAAGACAGATGTGTGGACAGAGCCACTTGGCCCAGATGTGCTGCAGTTATTGTATTTACAGGAGCAATGTCTGTGTCATAAACTTTCTCCTTAAGGACCAGTTTTTTCTTTTTTTTTTTTAAATCGCCCCTTTTGATTCCAAAACAGGAAAATAAAATAATAATAGCGTGAGAGGGCTTAACACATCAAAGTCCTCCCAGAATTTTTTTGTTGTTGTTGTTTCACCAATAAGTCTCTTCCTTGTTGGCAGAACAGTAAGCTGGGTTGCTGTCAGTCATTAGCGTCTGTGCAGGCTCCTCCGTGTTGTCCGGTAGCAGTGGCCTCGTGGTTCCCACCGGTGGGTTCAGAGGGGGGGTCTCCCACTGCAATAGGTCGCCATTACTGATGACAGTCTTATCCCACTGGCATTCAAACAGGAATGAATGGTTTCAGTGAAACACAGACACATCTTTTAAAAAAACATCACAAATCTCACAGAGGACCAGATCGGTCACACGCTCCAAATGCAACGTGAGTTTCTACGAACTGCGTGATGCATTTTAGTGACTTAAGTGGAGGGAAGGGAGATGAATAAACAGTTTGCAGTGAAGTCAAGAGAAAAAAGAATATTCTTTTTAACCAAGTTTTTTTTTTCCTTCTTCTTGCCAAGCTGTGAGTAAGATGCATCTTGCTGTGAGCCAGTTGCCAGGCAACCATGCGCCTGTGGTAAAGACGCACTATGAGGATGGGTTTCACATAGTGCAGGTTTTATCTGTCTGGTTTAAGAGTTGCTTCAAAGAAGAAAAAAAAACTCACTTTTTAGTGAGTATTTCCTAAAGCAAACTGGTAACATCTAGGCATGGGCTGGTAACAGCGCTCTCAAGACGTAGAATATGATTTTGAATCAAAATGCTAAAAGTGTTCATATAATTTCCAGCTATTCTTTCAAATTTGCCTCTGAGTGTTACTGGAGCCAGTTGATGAATTTTCTCTACAGACCAAGAATCATATTGAAAACGCTTGACTGTCATCTAGCGGTCAGAACGGGAACACCGTCTTGTGATTTTTGTAGTACTAAAAATTCACAACGTTTCTGCAACAGCAGCATCGATAAAAGAAATAACATGGAACATTTATTCGATTACATTTAGGCCTGATGCATGTGCTGTGTAAGTTTTGGATTTTGTGCTACACAGTTGTAAAAAAAAATAAAAAAATCAGAGTAAAGGGTTGAATTTTTACAAGGAGTTAGGTTCTGGCTATCAGATACTTGTAGAAGTCAACTACTCTGTCGAATAATTATTAAATTTAAGGGATTAAAGGTATTCCCAATTTATGCTAAGCTAATTCATTGTAGAAGTTTGGTTTTCTTTTGTTATTCTCATCAAACTCATGGTGTTTTGGGTCCTTCTCTCTGAGTTTCCTCTCGTTATTATATAACTTTGTCAATGACGCCAAACACTGCGCGACCACATCAACTGTCCCCCTTGAAACACATGGCTGACGTCGTCAGTAATGTATTTTCACATTACTGTCTTTAAAACTAAAGACAGTTATGAAACAGATGTTTCTTAACTTTATGTTGCCAATTGAAATCTAAAGTAAGAGGATATTGTTGGTAAATTTTTAACAATCCCGACCCTAAAATCCAATATGGTTGCTGTTTCTTTTAGCGTTAGCAATAGCTCCAGCAATAAATTGCTTATTATTCACTTTAGCTTTGAGTTTGTGTTAGTAATTGTTGCATCTATGTTGCTGGCTCTTATTTTGAAGTAGGAAAGGAAGTAGTTGTTGAGTTGACAGAGCTAACAGGCTTGAAGAAGCTTTGAATCTCTTACCAACCTATGCCTAGAAACATTTGAACCTGAGTTTGCTTGTTTTGTTAATATATGCTTGCGATCTTAACAGTTTAATAATAATGCACTGAAGAAAAATGCTACATGTGACTTTCTGAAGCCTTGTGCTTGTCTCTATATTAAAGCACCAGCATATTCCGATCATCATTTTAGTAAAGAGACACAAGATGACAAACCGAATACGTGTTCTGCACTGAAAGCTGACGCCAGCGGTCCCGTCAGATGGTTACCTTTCTGCCATGGTGGTTCCGTCTCCCAAAGCCATTAAGATAGAACGCTGCTCTCTGCTTGTGTGAAACCAGTAAAGACCACCTCTTTGCAGTTATCTGCCAGTAAACAACCAGAAACACAGCAAGTTTGGTGGCACTCAGTGGAACCAAAAAGAAAACACAATCCCCACAAAAAAAAAGACACATCTTTATGTATGTATGCATATAAATCCTCAAGCTTTTCTCCTCCTTCGAACTGTTTGCCAAAGCAGATCCTTGCACAAACATGAGGAGACCCTGCTGTCGGTGCTCGTGTGAGATGAAACTTACACTCTCACACCGATTCGTTCTGCTTCAAACCCAAAAATAACACCAAACTATAAACCAAAGTTACAGCCACGTGTGGTTGAAATGTGAAATCTCTTTTTCTTTTTGTCCTTGGAAGCACGTCTCGGTTGATGATATCTAAATATGACAAGATCTAATATCCCTGATTAGTAAATATGGATCATATGGTGGATGGCGGCTACTTCAGTCAGAGTTCCTTTATTGCAAGTCTCAAATGACACCGTCGAACTAAAGGGAACTCCAAGTGACAAAGCAGAATAATCGTGTTACTTAAGGATGTTAGCGCACGCTCCTTCCTGCCAGGCTGGCACCGTTAAGTCTCAGCTGCGATGTAGGCAATATGTGAGTTCAGACACGATGCCGGGGAAGGGAGGGAGGGCGTTCTTTTTAGGCTGGTCGCCTCACAGGATGGATGGGATAGGGGAGCGGGAGCGGCGCAGTGGGCAGGGGGATCCGTAGGGTGAGGTCACGGGAGACAACCGCAGGGTGTTACCGGCCAGGCCAGCAATGTTGTTTAAGCTCCGGGATTTCTCATAGCCTTCAGATGAGAGCGGGGCGACAAAACGGTGGTGGTGGTGGTGGAGGTGGCGGCGGCGGTGGTGGAGGTGGTGCAGGACATGAACACACACAGGCAGGCAGGCAGGCAGGCACGAAGGCAGGCAACGATCCGAATCCGAGCCGGCCGATTGAACCGGGACAAGACAGGAGACAGGAGTGAGACAGAGCAACAGCAGCAGTCTGCATGTTGAGAGCATGCACAGAGCAACTCCTGACAGAGCTCTGGTGTTCACAGCAACAGCTGCTGGGGAGCAACAAATAACCAAAGCAATGGAAGAGGATCTGTCTTTTGGCTAGATAGACAGCTACCTCAGAAATGACAGATAGCTAGCGAGAAAGCTGCTGTTTATCTATCTGATAGCTATCTAACTAGTTAGCTAGATAGCTAGCTCGTCTAGTTGGCTAGACTAAATAGTTAGTCTACCTAACTATCTAGTTAGCTTTCTAGACAGTTAGCCAGAAAGCTAACTTTCTAGATAGTTAGAAAGCTATCTAACTTTGTAACTATCTAGTTATCTAGCATCTCCTGACAGAGCTCCGGTCAACTAGTAGTTATCTAGTTAGATAACTATGTTTGACCTATTGTTCTGCCCTAGTAAGTTATGCTGAATGAGCCTAAATTGGTAGGCCAACTACTTTTAGGAAGGTTCACAACTTTTCCATGGTTACAGATTCATTTTACACTTGCAGATCTATAGATTATCATCTGTTCTTTAGCTTCTTTAGATTGTAGGATGTTGAGTTGCTTGTTGGGATGTTTTAGCCTACTTCATGTTGCTAAAAAGGTTCTCTTTAATTTATTTATCAACATAACATACTTACAGATTGGCTTGAGATCTGACTTCATCTGCATCACATCTGAATTTGCCTTAACTTCCTGTTATGTTAGGATCAATTGATCACATTTATTGAAATGTGTTCAATAAAATAAAGCTCCATATTTATTTATTTTTCATTTTTTTTGGCAAATCTGTACCAGAAAGTCCATTAAAAAATTCTTCTTTTTTAGTTCATGTAACCTCCACAGCAGCTGTGTTTGAGAAATTATTGGGCAATAAAAAAATCAGTTTACAGAGTCAATGAAAAAGGAAATAAATCACATATGCAGTTTTTCTTAAACTGAAGCAGAAGCAGTCATTATTATGAGTTTTTTTTTAGCATAAAAAACAGATTGAACTCTACATTATGTTATAAGTTTTCATACCCTTTAAAGTTTTTCACAACATGTCATTTTACCAGCATTCTTTGAATGTATTTTAATGCAATTTTGTGTGATAAGCAAATAAATATGAAGTGGAAAGAAAATTATATAAGGTTTTCTATTTCTTTTCTTTTTTTTTTTTTTGTATAATTAAAAAAATCACAAAATGTATCCAGCCGTTTTGCCCTGCTGAAATGTTACTATGGGGGATTAAAGAATATCTCAAATATACAATAAAATAATATTTGGTAACACTCCAGGAATGTCTTTGATGAGGGAACAGCATTATAACATAATGGAAAGCTCAAAAAAATCGACTTTACATATAATATTGTTCCTTTATATATATATATATAAAAAAATCTCTGTGAAATACAATGAAGTGAAAAAGTTAAAGGAGTATGAATACCTTTGAAAGGCACTGCAAATCGAACTCATTGCATGTTTATTAAATGCTCACAAGAACATCTTCACATATAGACATTTTAAGTCAGGCACAAACCGTGATAATAATATTAATAATAATAACAATATCGGGAGGGTTTTTATTAATTATCAAAGTATATGCATGAATGGAAGTGGCACATACTGATGATAATGATTTCCCATCTGTATGGATTCACACTTTAAAAAAACAGTTTAAACTTGAAATCTGCATTCAGTGCAACGTAAACAAGCAGGTGAAAGCAGCTGGGTCGTTAATGCAGCGGACCAATCGGCTGGCACCTGGTTCTCAGGAGGAGCAGCTAAGGGAAACGTCGCATCAGCAGCTGCGTTTCCCTTACAAACGTGCGCAAAAACGTTAATGTTTGGCTAGTGTCAAAAAACCTCGTTTTGCAATGGCAGTGTTTAAATTAAATAAGAAATCCAATTAAAATTAACCTGAGCACATGTTGCCAAAATGACGGAAATCTTCTCAGTTATATCCATATAAACAAAATACTTGTACCAAATGTTTAGATCCACATTTTTCGCTCACTGTCTGACATGAAAGTTAATTAACAGCTTATTTTTAGCTACTAAATTCAAAATCGGAGAAATTTTGTTTTCGTTCCTCATTTTCAAGAGTTTACATAAACATTTTTCCCCCAACGTTTCAGGCGTCCTTCCTCAAACTTTTCACAGCAGTTTGCCATAATTTTGGTTTACAACTAAATAACAATAAAACTGGTGGAAGTGAATCTCTCCTGCACACCTTTTCAACTTTGTCCACAAATTCTCAGTGGGACTAAGACCAAAACAGAAGAAAGCGGCTTCTGTTATGATGGTGCTTACGACCAAATACGTCTATTTCTGTTTCATAAGACGACCGGACTGGTGTTAAAATTTGAGCGGTTTTCTCTCTGAGTGGATTTTCAAATTGCAATTTGACTTTTAGAGGGAAAATTTCTTCATGTTATTGCTACGTTCAGGTTAAACTTTGAGCATTGTTTGATATTTACTTGCCTTTTTTTCTTCAGCACTGTTAATGTGTGACAAATGGCTATCATGTCCCTATTTGGAGTCAAAATTTGAATACTGTTCAGAAAAAATATAAATATGTCTTTGAACATGTATTTCTATTGCTTACAGCATCAGATTTGCTTATAAGATCTATCAGTATCTTTAAAAAAAATAACATTTTAAAAATAGCCAATAGGTCATAGATTTTCATTATCCGATGCAATGTAGCACAAAAATATAAATAACTGAATCAAACAAGTCTACTGGCATGCTGACTGCAGGTGTATCATCGCCTTGGAGACAGATGATACTTGGCAATTTATCTCGCTGCTGTAAATAGGCGGTGAGTGTGGCAGAGGCCCAAAAAGGAAAATTTGTCCAAATTTATTCAAATGTTTCCAAGCAACGAGGAAACATGAATAAATTTTGCGTGTGCAGAAAGCAGCAGCGGCTCTGAGTCAGCTGCGCAGCAGAAGCGTCGGATCCTCAGAACTGTCAAAAATACCGTGATGTTTTTGGCGCTGCTTACAGCAGAGAGGAACAAGTTACGTTACCTGAGCTGACTAGTGTTGAACAAAGAGCCTTCCCCCCTCCAGGGATGTCGGCGTACCTGTCACTAAGGACACGGATCAGCTGATGAGAACTCTGACTGAGCTCTGTCTTTTTAAGGCTCTTTTCTGTATTTCTTTCCTCTCTATATTTAATGCCCCTGTTTAAATACACTCCACAAAAAAAAAAAAAAAATCCTGCAAAGTCAAGCAACAAGAAGGAATGCTCTGATTTGGAATTATTTTGGTACAAACACAGACTGTAAATGGGTCTGTAGATGCCTTGATCATCTTAGAACAAGCCATTTAATGTATATTAAGGACTTTATTAGTGAAGCCTGGAAATGTTTTGCATGAATATTACCGCACAGCTATAAATATGGGTCTCATTGTCGGTGAGCATGAGGCTAATATGTTTGGCAATTGCACAATACAAATAGTTAGCCATCTAACTAAATGTGATACCTAGAACATCTTTAGGATGGGAGAGGTCAGCGAAACGAAAATGTTAGATTGTGAAGGATTGGATCATAATCATGAGTTACTAGTTGTGTTTCCATTTACTATAAAATTGTGAAATTGAAACTAATTCGCTGAAAGAAAAGACGGCAATTTCAAAAATAAACTCCGGTTTTTCGAGGAAAGTGTTGTGCGCTACATTAAAATGGATGTATTTCTCAAAACTGCCGTGGTAGAACGTTTTTTGTTCTCATCACACGAGTCACGTGATCAACAGTTGGGTGTTACTACTGGCAAAAACAACAAAGAGAAGACAACAGGAAGTAGGATGATAATGGTTTGGATTAGATTTTTTTCAGTCAGCAGCTGATGAGCGCTAGCACCATGGCTGAATTATGAATATACATAATGTTGTTTACATCCATCACTGCCATGATTTTTAATGACTTACTGTGTGTACAAGTTTATTCATCATTTTTTTATTTGTTTTTTTCTTTTTAATGGAAACACTGCGGCTGCAAAATAGTTTTTCAACATTAGCAGAACACAGACAAGGATTTGCACATGTTTGTAATGGAAACACAGCTAAAGGGACTAAACACACAGGAGGAGATGGCCATAAGCCAATGTGTTCAATCAGGCAGGCAGGGTCAGTCATCAAATCACTTTCATACCCAATCTGTTCTGAATTTGTACCAAATTACATCCAAATCAGAATATTTCCCACACCGTGGGTTCTCAACTTGGAGCTTAACTCGTTGAAAGTAATAAAAACATTTATTTCAAAGTATGTTTGTTTTGATTCAAATTAATAAGAAAGCACTTACACGTGCAGTTACCTGGTTTTCTCATCCCTCCATCAGCGGGGCACGTGTACTCGCTGGCAGCGAGGAGGAAGCACGTGCCCCCGCTTCGCCGGTCGTGTTCCCGGGTGCTGGACCGTCGCATGGGGACCATCTCCTCCGGAGACATGCTCAGGTCGCTGCCAGCGCTGCAGTCTGCCGACAGAACTGTGGGAGGAGAAACAGACATATGGATTTTCTCCAGTCATTGTTCTTATTCGTTACAGTAAATGTAAAACGTTTCCGGAAAGCACTGTAAAGAAAGTCTTTGGTCCTGGTTTTGTTGCCGCTACCATCGAGCATTTCTTCTCTGAAGAATTGGTTTAATTAATCTACGCTGAAGGGTTTCAAGCATCTCGATTATTTTTTGACAAGGTTTAAAAATGCAGATGTGTTTTTTCTTCAGTCGTCAATTATTTGGGACTTTCCAGCGAGCACCATTGTTGTCCAGTTTGTCTCTTATTGTTGAATCATGAAGATTGATTTAACTGAGGCAAGAGGGGCATGAAGGGCTTTAGATTTCATCTCTGGCTCTATCGCTGGTTTCCTAGAGTCCTAAAGCCTTTGAAATGGCTTCAAAGCTCTTTCCAGTCCAATAGATTTCACTAGCTGCGTTTCCATCGACCATATAATTGCTCCATTTAACGTTTCAAAAATAAATTTGCTTAATGGACACACTGCAATAAAAAAACAAACAAAAAGACAGTCAGAAATGAGCAGAAGGGCACAAAGGTGATACTACTTTTTTTTTTTTTTTGCCAAAAGAGACTCAAAACATGACAGAACAAAGAAACACCATAAAAACCTTGTAACCTGAATACAACCACTTGATTACATTTCATTCTCCATCACTGTATGGGTGAAAGTGTGGCAAGGGGGCCATTTGTGGCCCTTGAAATCTTTTTTTTTCAGCCCCTGACTAAAAGTCAAGAATGGTAAAACAATTGATGGCCCAAAAAATGTGGAAATTGTCAGTTTTTCTTTTAATAATGCAACAGTTCAAAGCCCTTTTTATGTTTTGGAACATTAATTATACACAGTTTTCATTAAAAAATTGTTTATTGTTTGGCAGATATTGACCAAAATGGCTACCTTTAAAAGTAAAGTTAAAACCAGATGCATACACAGAAAAGTAATTGTTCTCCTGTTTTAAAAAAAAATTACTTACTTAAAACACACTCTTACAAGTAACTGTGTTTCACCTATCATTATGTTCATGTGACAGAGGTCAAGTTAATATTATTTCCTATAAAATTTCTATTTTATTGAACAAAAACATTTTATTCTGGCTATTGGTAAGTTATCCTTACTCTAAAAAAAGATGTTAAAACAGTGGCGTTTCCCTTTGTTTTACCCGTTTTGCTCACTTTAACAGACATACTATCCAAATTCGCTTAAAAAATCCCAACACGATAAAGCCAGTTTAAATGTTTTTGATGGAAACATAAATTATGCATCAATTTAAACAATCCTAATTCAGAAAACAACTTGGTAACTTCAACATCCTACAAGTAGCAGAAATCAAATGTTTGGTTCTGAGATGTAATGGACTGCAAAAAGCCCAGAGGACACACACTTACCCTTGGGGATCTCCTCAGTGGAATTTAAATAAACCTAGTACACAAAGGTCAGCACTAATTTCCATCACTATCAGATGTGTCAGAGTAAATTACCGACATGAACCTGGAGGCAAAAAAAAAAAGCAGCAACACACAGTCTAAACAGCAAAGGAACAGTCCCTAGTGGAGGAAAAGTGTTTCCCCTGAATCCTGATCAGCCTGAGCTTTTTTTCTTTTTTTTTTACCATCTTTTGCAATGCCTTCTTTGTCACCATAGCAACTGCTGTTGAAAAAAGAAAAAAAACGCAGTGAAAATAATTTGATGGCTTGTTTGGATCAAAAGGCAAAGAAGTATATGCAGTTTGTTCCTAAAGTATTTATACACCCTTGACTTTTCCACATTTCATCCCTTTACAGCCACAGATTTTCATGTGTTTTATTGGCGCTTAATTATTCAGTGGAGAAAAAGTGTACATATTCAAATCCTTTCACAAATAAAAACATAATAAATGTGTTGTGGATTGATAATTAACCCGTTTTACTTTGACGTTCCGAAATAAAATCCAGTGCAGCCAGTTGCATTTGTAAGACCTTCATATAGTAAACATCTGAGTTCACCTGTATTTAACTTAATGTCAGTGAACGCCTCACAGGTTCATCAGTGGGCAAACAGCACCATGATGACCAAGGAAAGCAGCAGACGGGACACGGTGTTTAAAATTAGACTATAAATTAGGGTAAGGTTATATAAAAAAAAACATCCAAAGTTAAACAACCCCAAGAAGCGTATAATCCATCATCCTGAAATGAAAAGAACATGTAATAAGTGCAAACCTACCAAGACGGGACAACAATTATCACACACTCCCATGGTAACTGTAAAAGCTGCATCCATTGTTGAAAGATAGCTATGCTCTTCACCTCAAGTCGTACAGAAAGAGATATGTCATTGTAAACACAATTTAAAACCATTCATTCAATTCACTTCGCAATGCAAGGGCTGCTTTGTAGCATGAGTCCAATAAAATATGTTGACGTCTGAGTTGAATAGGGAGAAGATGTGGAAAATGTCAATGCGGTGTAAGAAACAGAAAGAACCTGCTAAATGTTTACAGATTTCTAACTGAGGAAGGCATTCGGTTAAATTCAGGAATGATTTTGCCTCTGAGGAAAAGTAGTTGGTTCTCAGTTTTGAGTTTGTCAGCTCAATCCTAGCCTCCTCTGACAAGTGCCCTTGGGCAAGAGATCAAACTAAGGAGAGTCACTGATCTGCATGTTTGCGTTCGCAGAGATGGTGTTGTAGTGTGAACCAGATTGAGATGTTAAGAGAACTAAAATGGCTATAGTTAGTCATTTTGAACAATATTTTATTGAGGTCTTACCTGAACGGTTGCGTTCTAGTAATCTACCCCCTTTGACGTGGCACAAGTCACCTTGAGTGCTGTTGCAGGTCAAGTTGAGGTCCCCTTTACAGTACGTCGGAGAACTTCCCTGCACTGCCTGAGGGATGTGTTTCTTCCTTTTCTTGGGAAGCTTCTGCTTAGCCATGGCCAAAGAGTAGTACATTCCAAAGTTATTGACGATAACGGGCACAGGCATGGCTATCGTCAGCACACCGGCTAAAGCGCACAACGCTCCCACCACCATGCCTGACCAGGTCTCTGGATACATATCTCCATAGCCCAAAGTAGTCATGGTCACCACAGCCCACCAGAAGCCAATGGGAATGTTCTTGAACTTGGTGTGGTCGGTGGCCGTGGGGTCGTTGGGCTTGGCACCGATTCTTTCGGCGTAATATATCATGGTGGCAAAAATCAAAACTCCCAAAGCCAGGAAGATGATTAGCAGCAGAAATTCATTGGTGCTGGCCCGCAATGTATGGCCCAGCACCCTAAGCCCTACAAAATGACGCGTTAGCTTGAAGATGCGCAGAATCCGGACGAAACGCACCACCCTGAGAAAACCCAAGACGTCCTTGGCGGCCTTCGAAGAGAGGCCGCTCAGCCCTACCTCCAGGTAAAAGGGCAGAATGGCCACAAAGTCGATGATGTTGAGGACGCTCTTGACAAACTCCAACTTGACTGGGCAGAAGGTGACGCGCACAAGGAACTCGATGGTGAACCAGAACACGCAAACTCCCTCCACGTACGTGAGTGCTGGATCGGTTTCAATCTCATACTGCGGCGCCGGGTCCGGCTCGCTGCTGTTCCGCGCGTCGGTCTTGTTGATGATTTTGTTAAAAGCCTCATGGGTCTCCAAGCAGAAGGTGGTGATGGAGACCAGGATGAAGAACAAAGATGCGAAGGCAATGAACTAAAAGAGAAAAAAGCAAAAGAGAAGAAACACATCAATCAAGCTTAAGGTTATTTCAACGTGACATGGAGTGATTAATAACAAGCTGTATACTACTACTCAGTTTTAACCGAAGACTAGGGTTCTGTAGCTATGAACTTAAGCACTGCTTTGTCATCTTTGTGCACAATTTAAATTTGAATGTAGATATCAGAATGTGTCAATTGCTGCTGGTACGAAAGACAATCGGGAAGCGTAAAAAAGCAACACAAAAGACAGAGCCGGTGGAAACAGAAGCAAAAAACAACCAAAGGGTAAATAAAAGAAGTTGTTTCTGTGGTTATAAATGCTTTATTAATGGCAAACAAACTGGTAGAAAGCAGTTATACAAGCTGGTTTAAAGGTCTTACAGTTTAGACTACGTACTGCCATAAATTGGCAATATGTACAGTTCAGTGGCCTGATAACCACATAAATACATAAAGAATGCATGTGTTCCTTTAAACACCTATGTTTAAAGTAATAAACATTGCTGTTTAAAACCTCCACACTGTCGGTACCACATAAAGAAGAGAACCCGACTCATCTGAAAAGTTTTAAAAAAAGAGTAATCAAAGTTTAACATCAAGCAGATTCTTTTCTTCACAGTAACCTGTCTGTCTGTCGCAGAATCGCAGCTGTACTCCAAGAATCTCAGGCAGACATTGCAAACGTTTACAGGCGTTCTCCAAGAGCCAGAATAGCAGACTTCCACGCACAGCCCAGCGTGCTCCTTCTACACTTTCCTCCCACAGCCCATCCATAGTTGTGCTCTGCTGCCTACTGAGCGCCCAAGAAGAAGTCGTTTCACACTCTTACTCTCATGCTTGGTTTTTTGGATTGTATGACTCACGCAGTCTCAAAATATCATTGCCACTATTTGGGTCACCTTTATCTTGAACTGTGTGCATGCGTTCCTGAACATACTGTTTGTATCTTCACAATTATACATGCATCTTTTCAGGTGTGTATTCTGTGCTCTGCAGTTTAAGTTTCCCCACACATTTCAGCTGATTCTACAAATAAGGAGTTTTGACATTCTGTTCCAGGTAGACTAATGGTCATAAAAATTATTGCTATATAAATGATAATGTTGTTGATTAGAGACAATTTTCAACTAATATATTGATAATATAGCATAGAAATGCAAGGTCGCCCTCTCAAAGACCAGTAAACTTTAATTCCGTAAAGAGCACCAAGCACTGGAACTGAAAATAAATAAATAAATAAAACCACCACCAAAAATAATAAATTATCGAGGTAATTTTAATTCATAATTGATTATTGCCGCAGGATTAAACAGGACTTGACAATTTTATGTTCATCTTTTGTAGAGAAGAAAGAGCAAAGATTTCAGTCTGGTAGAGACATTCCCCCAAAACCCTGCTGCTGTAATTTGTAGCAACTATGGCTCTACAAATGCCTGAAGAAGGGGTAATACAAATCTGTTCCATACTTTTTTACTTCACTGGTCTTGGGCAAAAGATAAAAAAAAAAAAAAAAATCTAATATTTTTAGTCATAACATGAAAAAATGTGGCGTAGCTTAAGGAATGCTTTTACATGTCGAAAAAATTTCTATTTCTTCAAACCTTTTGTCATGAAAAGTCAAACTTTTTGTCCATCCATGAAACCAAGCAGACCTGGTTCATGTTCAGGAGATAGGTCAGTAATTCTTGGTTTTACGTGGACAAAAGTTGAAACGTACCCCTTCGCTGTGTGGATGCTGCTGACTAATGGTAACTGCTGAGCTGCAATTTTGTAGCATTTGCTTTGGCAACCCAAAGGACGGGTGAGTCCAGCCTCACCGACATATGGACAGTTTTTGTTTTGTTTAAAAATCTTTTTATGAAAGACATTAAAACACACGAGCACTATCCAGGAGACGCTGCTTCTCGACATTCTGATTTCCAGCACACACACACACACGCACGCACACACACATCGTATGCTAAATAAGTCCTCCACTTCTACAAATTGCCCTTTGAAGGCAGAGCTGGGCAGCTGTTGCACAGACGGTCCATCTCCAACTGCAGATCTAATTTAGCCCTGAGGACGAGCCCCATTTTCAGGCCATCTTTTTTCATCACATTTCGGGCTCGGGGAGGTTTGTCACTCAGTGCGTCCGCTAACAGCCCAGACGTCTGTTTCACAGCCACAACTGGTGACCTTCATGCGTGCCCCGAGAAATCACAAAGGTTTGTCATCATAAAAACTCCCTATTGATTGAACTGAAAGCCACAAAGATAGATTGATATATTGATTGATGACTTTAATAAACCGCAGAGGGAAGTTCTGTGACTAGAGCTACCCCAGGATGAGACGGTATTGTGCTGCAGGAATGAAAAATGAGGAAAACAATTCTGGGCGAGGCTGAAGGGAGAGGATAAACTCATTTTTGTCAGGTCAGTTGATGAAAACTGTCGTATTATAGGGGTTTTTTTAGAAGAAGAACACAGCAGAGAGAGAGAAAGTTATGGAAAAGTTTAAAGCAGGGTTAGCTTAAACTAAGCTAACCAGCTAAGTTATGTTAGGCTACTTTATTACTTATGGTAAACAAAACTAATCTAAGCTAGGTTTGGCTAAGTATCAAACTTAGCAAAAGCGACTTAAACTAAGCTAGCTCTTAGTTTAAGCTAACTAAAAACTAGCTTAAACTGAGGATTTAAGCTAGTTTTAGCTTAAACTAGTTTCAGCTAGGTTAGAATAGAATCTAGAATGGACATGGAAGTTCATACATGTCTGTATTAAATTGAAGACATTCAACACATATCTGGATTTTACATATATGTAAACTCCAGACATACATTAAATTCTTAAAACTAAATTCTATGTATGTCTCACAGAGCACTACTAAATCTGTCTGCTATGCAAATTGTAAAAAGTATAATACGACTGCAAATGTACGGAGACATGGCCGCCCACCTGACCTGACAGATGGTGAGAATTAGCCAGAAAAACAGCCAACATTTCCACAGTAACTGTGGAGGAGCAGTAGAAGCCACAGATGGAAAAATCTGTCAACGGGACGTTTCTGCACACCATCCCCATCATGAAACAGGGTGGTGGCAGCATCATGTTGTGGGATGTCTTGAAAGACTGTTGAAGCTAAATAAAAAGAAAGCCTGGATGAAGAGATTAAGGTTTGCCTTTTAGCAGGACATCATTGTTCAAAATAAGCCAGAGATCCAATGTGTGATGCTTTTATTTTCCACACCATTTCTATTTTTCACAGGTGGAAAATGAACAAACTGCTGAGTTTGTATTTGTTGAGAGGGAGGAGAAGAAAAAAAGCAGGGGTCACAGTTCCTGGAAAGCCACTGAAAGGCCTTTAAGCCAGTGAGACTTTAGACATCTCTGTGTCTTTTAGTGCCACCATCTCTATACCAGAATACAGAACAGCAGCTCTTGCAACCGTCTCGTAAACCTTCCTTTTTCATTTTCCCTGTGGAAATGACATTAAAACATTTCCTCTTAAGGAATCCTGGGGTTTACAACGACATTTTAAACATAAGCAACAGCATAAACCAGACAGGGATGACATCTTTTGGTCTCCAAGGGCAACAAGTAAGGCTTTGTACGTCACTGCTTTTAGTGTGAATGGAAGTGTTTGTTTCTGTTTCCTTATATGGAGCCTTTTTTTCTATGTCAACAACTAAAGATGATCTATCAGACTCAACACTTTTAACCACATTCATTATACTGGAGGAAAAAACTAAAGATAGCACAACCCTTAGCTTTCAAAAATGCTAAATGAAAAAAGACGAATAAATCAAGTATTTAACCGCCTCATTTCATGATCCGTGTGTTCTCCCTTCTGTTCTGACTTGACGACTTAGTCGGGAATTGAATCACCACCTCAAACGCTGATGGGATGCGATCGCTGTCACAGTCTTTAAGCACAGACGCCGTCGTCGTAATCGCTTCATTTTCCGCTGGACGTCTCTGTCAGACGCAGGGACTCTCCCAGACCTCGGCGGGAGAGAAATGCCACGTCAAGCTGCTTCAGTGGCAGTGGAGCAGGGTGTTGACACCGCTAGGCAGGGCGAGTAAAGAGCTATTTGAAAGTAACAAACCTATCTCGTCACGTCAAACGTGGTCAGAAATGACTGTAAAATTCCGGATTACGGAAAACGAATGCTTCTGCATAGATTGGATGGGTGGAAACTCTCAGTTGGATTAATGTCAAACTTTGACGAGGCCATTCTGAAAGATAAATATGCATAAATTTAAACCTTTTTTTTGGGGAGCTCTGTCTGTTGTAGGGTCATTTTCCGGTTAATTTCCTCCCGAATTTGTTGCAAATACTTTTCACAGTTTCTGACCCGACAGAAAAAGAAAACCTCTCTTTCAAATTCCAGTAGGTATTTCATGCATCCCAACATACAACCTTTGTTTTGTTTTTTTTTCCCATCCCCCAGACTCTAAAATAGGATCCACCGTCACGGTTCACATTTTACGCCGTATGATGGAAACACATTAGATGGGCCCACTTTGGCTGGCATCCACTGCACAAATAAACACACAGATAATAGGCAACCTCCATCCCTCTCTCTGCCCACATGTCGACCAATCAGAACGTCCGTTGGCCTCTGCTCCTTGGGATCGCCACCATCTGTTTGACACCGAGAATGGAAGGTTGTGGTCTGTTTGCGGCCGGAGAAAACAAGCCGCTGTCGCGCTAGCTTGGTCCTCTGATGTGACGACAGCAAGCAAAGCAGACCTTAAAGATACCGACAAACTCTAGAAAGAGCTAATGCAGAAGGTTGCTATGGTGAACTTGACCCAGCATAGTGTTTTTTTTTTTTGTCCCACTCTTGAAAATGATTTAAAGTGCAGTGAAAATGACTGTGTTGCCAGCTAAATCTAGGATGTGGGAGTTGATTACAGCAGAGAGCAGCTGAAACACAAGTCATTAAGAAAAACAACCTTCAAAACAGAGCGCTATGTTTATGACACACAGGGTTTTTCTGTACATTATGT